GACCCTGCCCTGATCCCGCCCCCTTTGACCTCTGACCCCTGACCCCACCCCCTTTATCCCCACCCTTTGCCCACAGCCCCATTAACCCCCCACTCCCATTGCCCCTACCAGAGCCCTGACCCCGTGCCCTTTGACCCCATGCCCTTTGACCCCGTAACCTTTGACCCCGTGCCCTTTGACCCCTGGCAGCACACCGAGGCCCAGTGTACGCCTTGGCTTGTGGGGAGAAGCAGCTGCTGAGCGCCAGCGATGGGGAAGTGCGGGCTTGGAACTGGGCTGACCTGGCCAAAAAGGTGACCTCAGACCCCTGACCTCTGACCCCTGACCCCCTCAGGGGGCGGGAGAGGGGTGGCTGTGGGCTGACGGTGTGGGGTTTGGACCCTTGTAGGGCTGCAAAGAGGTGTGGACCAGGAGACCCCCGTGCAGGTGAGACCCCAAAGTGTGACCCCAAAATATGACCCTGAGTGACCCCAAAGTGTGACCCCAAATAACCCCGAATTGTGACCCCGAGTGACCCCAAATTAGGACTTCAAGTAACCCCAATTTATGACCCAGAATGACCCCAAGTTGTGACCTCAACTGACCCCAAAATGTGACCCCAAATAACCCCAAATTGTGACCCTGAGTGACCCCAAATTAAGACTTCAAGTAACCCCAATTTATGACCCAGAATGACCCCAAGTTGTGACCCTGAGTGACCCCAAAAACGTGACCCCAAATAACCCCAAATTTGACCCTGAGTGACCCCAAGTTGTGACCCCAAGTGACCCCAAAATGTGACCCCAAATAACCCCAAATTGTGACCCTGAATGACCCCAAATTATTATTTCAAGTAACCCCAATTTATGACCCAGAATGACCCCGAATTGTGACCCTGAGTGACCCCAAATTAGGACTTCAAGTAACCCCAATTTATGACCCAGAATGACCCCAAGTTGTGACCTCAACTGACCCCAAAATGTGACCCCAAATAACCCCAAATTGTGACCCTGAGTGACCCCAAATTATTATTTCAAGTAACCCCAATTTATGACCCAGAATGACCCCAAGTTGTGACCCCAAGT